ATTATAAAACATTTAAAAAAATGTCTTACTGTAATAGACCTAAAAGTCACAGATGAAGAAAATCAGCTTTGTTAAAATGCACTGTTACCAAAAAGATAAAGTAAGAAAAAGTATACATATTTGTTCATCAAATTTAAATTCAAGAAATTGTCAATTTTTTTTGACTTGTTAGAATTTCAACTGACAGGACATTAGAAGCTCTAATAACAGGCTTGAAAACATTATTATGTTAACATGCTGACCAATTACAGACAGAGCTGTAAACACAGCACACGACAAAGCTGACAGAGTCATTGATCATTGATATCATATATATTGATTGTTGGTGTTATATGTGTTATAATGAAAAAAATGATAATATGTTCTATGATTAAAATATTTAACATTCTTGTATAAAAGTTATTACAAACTGTGTAACTATAATTTACAAACCATCTAGATTTAATACATATGAACTCTCAGCTTTATTTTACTTTTAAATAGTGTAAAAGTGTTTAGATTAAAAAAACATTTATTCATGTTGAGACACATGAGGTGACTATGAATGTGAGCTTGTGTCACATTTTGATCCCTGTAAGATATAACCTAGGCGCTCCACCTGTACACAGCTCAACTGGAACACACATGCACACACACACACACACGTACTTGTACTTCTATCTTTGTAAGGACACTCATTGACATACTGCATTGCCTAGCCGATTACCCTAACCTTAACCATCAAAACTAACTGCCTAACCCTTACCCTAACACCTAACCTAAATCTAATTCTATCCTGAACCCTAAAACCAAGTCTTAACCCTCAAAAAAGGTGCTTCACAAAGTGAGGACTGGCCAAAATGTCCTCAATCTCCTCAAATGTCTTCACTCTGTAGCAAAATAAAAGGCCCTCACTATGTAGCAAGTACAAGAACACACACAAGCACACACTTTTAATCATAGAATTTCTTTCTATACTGACACATATAAACATACTGTACACAGAACACAATCAATGAGTGCAACTGTAATATCACCAGTCAATACAGATTTACCACCATTCATTGCACTTGTGCAGGGTCACAGTGGGACTGATGCTTCGAATCACACACAGAGCCAAATAAATAAAAATCTAACAATATGCAAACCTTTGAACAAGACCAACAGCTTAAACAAGCATGTGTTCTACTGAACGATGGAAGACTGGCTTTTTAGTTCATTATTAATTGTAAGTATTTCTTTTCTTTTACAGATGATTAACAAATCACATCTTATGTGTTTCAGCTGTTGTTTTAAATTTATTTTATAGACTAGTAAAGTTTGTAAATGAACTAAACTGATTTCCACAATAAGAAGGTTTTAAATAGGCTAACTTAATAACTAGCTTTTTACTTATTCACAAATTTACATCACAGTATTTCTTAGTGAAGGAGTGTCTTAATGAAGAGTCCAGGGAGTCCCTATTAAAAGTTAATTATTACCAATGCCTATAAACATTGTTATCTATACTCTAATGCACTTAACACTTTAATTTCAATTTTTGTATTTAGTAAATGGGGAGACTACAGGGGTCTATCACCAGCATACATTTTATTTCCTTTCTCTTTGTTGTCAGTTAAAGTTTGATATCTGTTTATATGTTTTTAAAAAATAAACCATTTTGTAGAGAGAACACAAATAATAGGATTATTAGATCATGCATAGGGTGAAAAATCTCATCTTTTCTATTTATATTTTCATTTGCTTACAAGCAAACTTAAAGTTAATGTACTGTACTTCACTGCCTTCAAAAAATAAAAATGTTGTTAAGCACAAAGTACAGGGTGTTACAAGAAATATGGTGTTTTGTCATCACCTTAAATTAAGACTCATATAAACCAACACATGTAGTTAAGTAAAGTATTCCATGTTGTCAGGTTTTAATATTGGGGCTCATTTCTGAATATGTTTTTGACTGGTCCTTGGCTCTGCCTTGTTGATTAATCAATTAAGTGTCTGTGAGGCAGGCCGGGTAGCCCCACAAGTCTGGGCCTGTCTTCAAGTCACCTGTGGTGATAACTAGACCTTTATTAATTTACATTCGGGGCAAAACTAACTGGAGCTCATTAACGCAGCCAAACAGGTGTGAGAAATACAGCTTGTAAATGCTTAATGGCCGTGCTAACATGAAAAGAAAATAAATTTCTGTTGAGCTAAACCTTTAGCTAGCATGCGAAATGATCCTAGCTGTGTTTGGATGTGGTTTTGTTATCAGAGCACTTTCAGCATTGTTGGAGGGTGGAACAGCCAAACTGAGGCTATTAAGGATTATTTTGTTATTGCTAGCCTATAGGCTATTGTCTTTCTTTGTCTGAAGTAGCAAAGTGGCAAGTAGGGAA